TAGTCAAATATGCATATTAACCGTTACAAATTCATGATTACCAGGTTTTGTGGGATTTGATGAGTTGAAATGATCAATGTCAATTTTAAATTGTAACTTTGACCTTAAAGCATTCGCTGAGCTACTCTCAAACAAATTGTGCTTTGGTAATGAATGCATTTGTTGTATGCAGTTAACATTTCAAGAGACTTTTTCAAATTAAGTTAATATTTTTATTAGTATAGCTCTTTTTAGCAAAGCAATTGTAACAAAACAGCTTTAAAGGTATTACACGTGCAATGCAACTAAGCCAATGCTAAGCTAACCCCCTTAGTAAATCTCAACCCATTATTATTTTTCTCTGGAATTAGGAACAGTTTAGACACAAATGAAACATGGAACTGTACTACATGGCTAAAAGTTGTACAGAAACTTTGATGTTAGCTTGTAAATGCGCAGTTTAACCTCTTAAGCCCTGAGGCCTATTTTCCGAAAATCCTATACTTTTACTTTTTAAGGCATTTCTCAGCTTTTACAAGGCCTAAACTGCAAATCTTGGTATCAAAATGAAGATAGGTTCTTGGGGAGTGGTGTGGATGAGTTAATTTGACAGTCAAGAACACTGGGTAAGAGTAAATGATGTTGAATTGTCCAAAAAATGAACTCCGCCCCCCAAAAAACTATGTTTCCTCTAATATCCCCTTATTTTACTCAGAAGCAAATAAACACAATCAATTGTAACCACTACATGTCAAGGACATCTGTAGCAAGTTTGGTGTTCATACTACAAGAAACTAATATTCTGTAAAGGTTTTGATTGAACAAAGTTCAGGTGTAATCCATGTTGGCACAGTTTGGCACAAGTTGACACAATAATTGAAATATGGAAAAAATCTTGTCCAAAGCTTCAGCTACGTTCATAGTCTTCTTTTCTTGCTTATGGGACATGATTTCAGCAAAAAAAACTCCTAAAGAAACGCTGTAAAAGGGGGGTAGAAGCTCATTTACGCCATCTTGCTGCGCTTTTGGGAACCTTTCATTCACAAACGCTTTCGACTTCGAGCTTCTGCGTGTCCCTACCCCCCGACCATCTGTCCAATCCGGGAGATCTATATATCGCTGGAAAGCTCTGATTCTATGGAAACCAATCAGCTCAACCATTTTGAGACTGGCGGGATCGCCGACGAATCACACGACGCGCAGCGTGGAGAGACCACCTCTTACGCACGGGGAGTCATTCCATATTTGGTGACGTCATGAGACCAAGGAACCACAGAAGAAATGCAAAATGGCGTTTTCGAGAAGCTATTGACCGGACATAACAACAAACGGACTTTTATCGCTATGGAAATAACTTTTTGTTGAAAAAACGGCAAAGGTAAGACAAGATTTACATGCTTGCTTGGTTTTCGCTGGCGTTTTTTCGTGGAACTTTCGCTCCCTGCTCTGAAATACTTCATTCAATGTTAATGAGTTGCATATCACTGGATTCAGCTGGTTGTTAGCTTTCATTTAATATCATGGTTTTGGCGTTTCCGTTTATATTTTGGATACATATCGCACATAAACAAAAACGTGGTCATGAATTATACTCCGGACATGTTGTTGTTTATTTGCATGGCGTTCGAGCTGTGGTTCACGAATATGAAATTGAATTAGATACGTTTTTAGAGGAGTTTCCGCTGAACACAACAGTATTTAATATGTGTAGGTTATTCTCAGGGTTCGTGAGCTATGAGTGAAAATGTAACGCACAAGGGGGCAAGTCCCCGGTACCGGGGACTCTCGGGCTTAAGAGGTTAAAACATTTTAAAGCTGTGCCCCTTGTGACTTGGAATAATATAAATGTTACCCTATTCATAATTTATTTTTCTAAGCTAAGCTATATATTTTTTTAATTGGTTGTTGGAGCAAACAATCTGGTTGCTATGGTGAAATCAATTGTCATTAACAGGCTCAGCTTCTAACTATGAGTAATATATATATATATATATATATATATATATAAATATCAAGTCCTTTGTTACTAGCATTTTCTAATAAAGAAACCCCCAGGTTGCTATGATTTTCTAAAGTTGAGATGGAGATATCAAAAAACCGGTTGCTTACATCAGTGACGTAAAATAATGTTCTACAATACTTGTGACATAATATAATGTCACTTTAAGTTATATATGCCAACCTTTATTTCTCTGTCATTTTCCAAAGCTGAGATTTCAGACATTTTGGTTGCTAGGGTAAACAATTTGGTTGTTAGGGAGCTTTGGTTTACATAAACAAAGCCCCATTTCTTTAAGATATTTTTTTTCTTGAGGATATTGTCTTTTCCTAGTTATTTTTCAAAGACCATTATACGCCAATGGCAAATACTTTTGCGCAGTCCTTGGAAGGGCCACAAAAGGGGTCACTTTGCGCATTTGTACACTTTGTACATTACATTTACTTGAATATTACAAAACGCTTCGCAAACAGTGTATGTGCCATATTTTTATGTGTGGTGTAGTGAACATAGCCTTAGTTAGTCCAGTGCGAGGGAGTGTTTGGTGTCTCTTATAAGCTTTATACTCGTGCAGAGACTATGGTACAGTTGGCATAACTTTTAGTAGCAGCAGTTTTGTACCTTATTAACTGAAAAAAATGCATTTACTGGGAAACTTAAATTATTTCAATTTTATAACAACCAGTGACAATGTATTTAATGCATTGAAAAAGCTAGAGATTGTTGTTCTCAAACTTACAGGATTCAATGGAGGCCTTGATCGAATGAACTCCAGAATGATCTCATGAGCGCTCTTCTTTAACCTTGGAGGAATGTCTCCATTGACCTGCAGCGAACACAAGTCATGAAAAGCGTTAAAGGTTCTACAGTCCTCATTAAAATAAACAATTTAAACTCAGTCCATCACTGAAGGAATCCAAGCATGTGTCATATTGAAAGAATGCACCAAAACAATATGAGCAGTCTCTCTGCATTTATACCCTCAGACGGAGAGGTTTGTTTGTTAAATCTTAACATCAATCATACAAAGCTCTTCTACATCGTTTAGCATTGTATACTGGAGAATACTGACTTAAATGTCCTAGTTGGCTTGAACCTATAGCCTCAAGGATAATGCTGGTTAAGCTCTGATAAGAAAAATGTTGTTTATGATCTTTGAAAACAGACAGCATTAAATATGAATTCAACTCTGCTGTCAGCCCTAAAGGAGCCAAACCTGACTAAGATCTTGTTTACATGATTTCCTTGTGTGTTCAGTCCAGTCAAGCAGGAAGATTAATCCTCTTCTACACTAGGGATGCACCATCACAGTTAAGCCATAGTTCAATATGCTCAGAGCATTTTAACCACTGTTTTAGATCAGATGTAGTATAACTCCTATAAGAGTAGACATTAAGTTCCAATCCAAAACACTACAATGTCTAAGAGACTGCTTTCTTTGGACAAAACACATTAAACAAGAAACTAAACCTTTTCTTATTTTTTTTATAAATATATGTAAAAGTGGAGTAACACTTGAGTGAGAGACCAGAATACACTTTAGTAACACCAGAGACCTGATGGCTGGCAAACGTAGTACTCACTGAAGAGTAACGTGCATTGTGCAGGAGACCTAGTTCCACTTGCTGCTCTCCCTCTGTGATATTAGGCACCAAACGGGACAAAATTTAAGCAAAGGCAGATAAACCGAATATGTGTGAGGTAGATTGAGTGTGCATGTGAGGCACACTGGGTTTACCTCACACATGTTCTGTCTGGCAACTCACACTGCAAACACTTGATTCACACGGGGCTTCAGTCAAAGCATGACAGATGTAATCATCACAGCGGGGTCAGCCAATGAAATTGGTCTGCATTTGGCCACGATCTGAGCTGGGATATTTCCAAAAAGTGATCTGATTGGGTGACGCTTTTGTTAGAGTGTAAACTATGAGCTTACTGAGCTTTTATACCATATATATTGATCTGTATATAGTAAAAAAATACGAATGTATAAATATAATGTAAAAAAAAAATTGCCCACCCTTCTGTGGTTTCAAGAATGGGGCAAGCTAGCCAATTCAATCTGGTCAGGAGCATCAGTTTTGGAGCAGAGCGTGGTGAATGAGGACTAGACTTCCTTGATTACCATTCTTGTTAGTAAGATTCAAATTTTTAAATTACTAATTTAAAAAAAAACATATTTAATTGGCACATGTTTTCAAAGTGTTTCATTAAAAAGTGAATTTCTCAATATTCTTTGCCAATAAAAAATTTTAGATGGCATGGTCTTTCATTTTCTAGCATTTAAAGGCCTGTTAAAAAAAATGTACGAAAAGCACAGTTCATATACTCACCATGACCTTACGAAGTTTGTACCGTTTGGAGCGGATGTCATCCATCAGCATCTCGTACGGCGTGAGCTGGAATTCTATTGGCAAAGGGTTGTATTGGCGTTCCTGGACCTTCTTCAGCTTCACCCCATGCCTTAGATCCCTCATCACCTGCACCCAAAACCGCGCCTGTGGATAATTTGACAAAAGTACATTTGGTCATGAGAGCATCACAGTGAACATAGACATAGGTTCGAAGCAAAACCCTGAACATATGAAACAACACATGCTTCTGAGGAATGATGGGTTGCCCTCACCCAGTCAGCGTTCTGCAGCTCATCCAAGTCTCTGACAGGATTCTCGCTTTCTCCTTCCATCTTCCGCAAATTCTGAACATGAAAACGATAAGAAAACAGCTAAGTTCTGTAATTCTGCAGTATTTACATGGAAAGAGGGGATAGGTTACATTTAATATCTATTTGGATATTAAAGAAAATGTATTTTAAAAATATAAAGAGCCAACAAAGTGTAAATCTCCAAGAGAACTGTTGTCCTATCACATTTTGAGATATATTCCCATGAACAGGAATAGTCTTGAAAAAGCCTTTTCTTCAGGTTTATATACTGAAGCTGAGCCAACTACCTTTCTTCAGTTCTTGAAATCTTGAACTGTTAACATTGACCATGAAACAAATGATCCGATAATTAGCTTTCCTGTGGCTCAGTTGGTAGAGCATTGCAAAAACAATGGAAAGCTCATGGGTTCAAATCTCAAGGAAAAGCAAGGACTGTCGAAAAAGAGCGCCTACCAAATTTATGTAAATGTCAATGGTTAAAGTTAGTCAGCAACATTTTTTTTACAAACATTAAAAGTACAAGTGGGCTTCAAAACTCAAAATGTTGTATATTTTGTGTGTAAAAAAAAAAATTTTTTTACATACTATTAACATATCTATTAAGCTAATTTTATGTTTAAAAGCAACAGAAACTCTTCAATCACCATTTAGGATGTCCCCAGGAAGGATTTGAATGAAAAACAGACTGTCGCCACTGTGGCTCAGGCTCAGTTTGTAAATCGACTCATTCTCATGTGACAGACAAGAGAGCCAAATTTAAACAAGATCAATATGTGGCTAATGCTCCCTTTAACTAGTCTGCACTGCAACCACTGATGGCATGAGTTCATTTCCACTCACCATGGAACAACAGGAACTCTGCCATCTTCTCTGGTGGTTTAGAACATTCTTAGAACATTCACAAGAAATAGATATATCTTCAAGAAATTACATTTACCATGATGAAACTTAAGATTCATTTGCCCTAAAGCCTTTGAATCAAACCCAGGGATGTGGTCAGAACAATAAACCGTTCTTTGGTTTTCAGCACCTGGATCTCTTATTAAATTCTTTTAATGACCTTGCAATCTTTCCTCAGAGGTAAAGCGGAAATATTTCATCTGCTTTATATTTTTAACCTGCATCATGTGACCTTGGTGCTTGTGGATTAGATCTCTGGATAAGCGAGGAGCTATACCAGGCAGGTTATAATGCAAACTAATACTTCAAACAGTGAGAAAGAACACATTGTACACAACAGTGCTCATATTTCGTCAGTTTCAACAGCCATAGCTCAACATGCCTGTCTGCCTAAGCAAAACAGCTTATAGCTTTGTGGACTTCAGAGTTGTATAACTTATATTAAAGTGAGCAAGATATATAGCACCAGTCATTCTATTAATCGTATTCCAAAATCTAAACTAAGACCAACTAGCTTTCAAGGATGACAAGAACAGGATTTTGACATAGGCAGAGTAGCTAAAATCACGGTCACCAAGGAAACAATTGGAAACAAACAACCATTTATTGCAACCTTTTTGTTATTCCTGTTTTCTCTCTCTCAGTAGTGGATTAAACACATCTTTATATTATCCAACACATTCCCATTTCATTGATTAAGAATTAATTATTACACAAACAAGGTATCTGTGGTTCTGACGCACAACCCTGCCGATTCTTCACTGCCCACATTTACATATTAAAGGAACTAATTATAGCCAAAAGTGTAGCCAGCTTGCAGCCTCTTGAGTTAAAGTTAAATGTGTTAAATGTTTACATGCACTGGTAGAAAAGTCAGATGAATCAAGCATATTGTGCTGGGTGATAATGGTGTTTCAATCCACCCTCACATCCGCAGCCTGTTCATGAGTCACTTATCAGGCCCACTCTCTATTCAACACAAGCAGCCTCCTGAGAATTTCAGAGTTTATATAGCTTCACAGTTTTATACACTGCTTTGTGAAAGATTGCCTTGACTTGGAATTAAAAAGCTATTTAAGTAAGAATTGGCAGTTTCTGTCAGAAAAAAAAAAAACTAACCAAATCCTATAAGATCAACTACATTCTACTAAAAATGTGGTTTTGAGATGTATGGTTTCTGAGTAATGGCTACCAACAAGACTTGCCCTAATCCAAAAATAATATGATGTCCATTGATTTCCATATTTGGTACTAATATAAACTCCGTTGCTATCTAAGGTGCAGAGAAATTTAAATGGTAAAACAGCATTGGACATAAAGTGCTAAACAAATAAAACAGCTACATTAGATCCAATAACTAGCTCTCTACCTCTTTGGCACTCTTGATCTTGTCCAGAAAGGTGTGAAGCTCCTTGGTCTCTGCGTATAGGGCTCGACACACAGCCTGGTAGTGGTTGGGAGCATCAGACGGGCTCGGGAGATGAGATGTGCAAAGCTGGAGGGTAAATATATATAAAAAAACTGCATCAGAGCAGTAACTCACAAAAGCTATTCAAGCGCAGCACTGTTTCTGAAGGTCCTCAAATAACTTTCCCCCAATGAGAGCTTCAACTGACCATTGAGCTCCAACTCCAACCCACCCTTTGTTACTGTTATTTCAGTCAAAGTAAAGGTATGTTATGCCAAGGACTGTAGAAATGATGATTAAAATATGAGATGGAGAGCAACTCAACTAAGAAATTTTCATTGTCCAAACAGAAGAAAAAAAAAACCCTCACCATTATCGTGGCAATATCGAGGAGCATCCAATTCAATATCAATAATGTTAAACGTTCATTTAATGAAATCTATAAAGAAACAGATTAGTGATTTAAACTTTATTAACACTCTGTGAGCCACAATAGAACCCCTAAAGCAGACTTCGTTAAATCTAATTTGTGTTTTAGAAGCCAAATAAACTCAGTGCTGGTATTCAGAGTATTCATCCTTTTCATCCAAAACAAGAAAACGAGTGGGAACTCCCACAATCTCATTATATTTGTATGAAACATAACGTTACACTGTCAGAGTGCCGCAAAACTGCGATTGGCGAATATCTCCTCTTTGGGTGGGGCCTATGCAAGAAGTCAATTTAGATAATGGAGAAATTACATTTTAATGCATTTAATTATTGTAAATGGACTGAATCTGTAAAAATTTTCTTGGAATTTATATCTATTTAAACTATAACCCAACCTAAAATAAATATGCAGGTGTGGTTTAACAAGGGTAGTAGTTCCTTGAAGTATACAATAAAAAAAAAAAAATCCCATTACCCTTTTTGTAGCTGCAGTGACATGATTTCCTTCATACTTCACATGGTTGAGTGCAGATATTATACATTTCATGCAAGAGTCTGTCTGATCATTTAATCCTTGCGTCTTTAAGAAAACCATCTAGTGAATTCTTTTGATCTGACGTTATATTTCATCACATAGCTGGGAGCCAAACCTGTGGCCTGCAAGCCTGACAGCTCACAAACACAGGGCTGTTTCAGCCTCAGAGACACAGATATAATACTTTGAGTGTGACATGAATTTAAATACACCATTACTTTGGTCAAAGTCATTTCCAACCGGCCTAATGGCATTTTTCTCCACACCTTCTATTGTGATCTGCCTTCTTTAGGAATGTGTTACAGTAGTGTCTGTGGCATGGGGTTTTTACTAAGAAATCACGCTTGACAGGAATCTGAACAAGGAAAGTGAGCACGCCTTGTTAAACCTGATAGGAGAGAGATAAGAAAAATTGAAGTTTTTTATTGATATTTGCTCTCCTATTTATAGAAAACTGAGCGGTCATTAAAGAGACAGAGAATTATCTCCCATGTATCTGTACATTCTGTTTCTATTAGTAAACAAAGAGAGCCAAAGGTTTAATGAAGTTTAATTAGTCTCTTCATGAAATCAAATGTCATGATTTGTTTTGTGGGCTTGACCTCAAATTAAAGTCAGAGATAGAACGGAAGAGGTCTTTGTTCAGATATTTCACAACACATCATAAAAATATTGAATGTACTGTGACTCAAGTTGACCACTACCAAATGTTTGTATACTGGCATCTTTTCTGTTTCACCCTGCATGTGTGTAGGTTACATCCGCATGTTGTATGCCTACCGTTTGCAGATCTACAGAGCATGCTACCAATTAGCTTTCAATCTTTAGATGTCAACAGGGCATATATCAACAGAGAGTAGATTTACTATTACAACAGTTACCAAAAGGCAGCCTAAAGTCCAGATCTGGACCTAGAAGCTGTCCTGTATGGAACTGGAGCTGCAGACCAAGCAAAAGCTCTAGCAAAGCGCTGTATTTTTAGGCAATGCAGCTATCTTTATGGTAGTTATTTAATGGACGTTAAGAGTTAAGCAACCCCACATGACTTCAACAGAAGTTTTGGCAGATGAGGGGAAGAAAAAAGGGGTTGCAAAGGAATAATCAAAAGGAAGTTATGAAAACAAAAACAGTGATGACTATAACTATGAGTAAAACTAGTGAAAACAAATCGAGATACTGAGGAGAGAGGGAGAAATACAGACAACATGGCTGAAATTGAGAGAAAAATGCGGGCGTCTCAAGTCTCACGCATTGAAGAACACTTCTTCTCATTGGGATACATTTGCAATTCAATCAAACAGAAGCAGGGGAGGGCGGGACTTTAGCCCCAAATATCAAATTTGAGTTACCAGAAAAAAAACATGCATAGTATTTGTCTTTAGCGGCTTGATTCCAAGCATTGTCCATATCCAAACAGCTCTCCATAAAGTGTTTTGTGGATCATATACAGGTGGATGTTTTTTAAATAATATTGCTGGATGCTTTTCTCTCCAAATAAACTAGAAATGATAGTTTAATATTGTGGGGAAAATATCTTTAGATGCGAAAAAATTTGAAATGGCTTTCAGTCATGTTTGACCTTATTTGTCATGTACAACACATTAAACCTTGCTGTAGTAGATCAAAGGGAAATGAAAAGCACTGGAGAGAAAACAACATTTTATCTCATAAAACACCAATTATGGGGCCACCATTTTTCTAAACACGTAAACCTACCAGTAAAAAACTAGATTGAATACATTATTTGCTAATTTCAATAAAATAACAATATTTAATGATTGATGTAATCAATATTACTGACATTAAACTGAACTTTAGTTTGTTACAGAAAAGGCATAAATACCTTAAAGAATGACATCAGTTATTGAGAAATGTGCATTTGATGAAACAAATACTAGATGAGTGTGTTTTGATCTCACGGTTCTTACAGAAATGATGTCTCGGTAGCCACGAATGTTCGAGACTTCAGCAAGGTCTTCCTCTACTTCATCCTCTTCTTCCGTGGCCTCATACCCCTCATCAGGACAGTCATTTTCCGTCTCAGTCATGTTGGTCATGAGGTCAATGAGCTGCTCCAGAGGAGGGCTGAGTTCTCTCTCCTCATGCTCCTTCAAGCCAAAATCTAAGGCCTTGTAGATCATTATGCCTAG